AAGTGTCTGTGGAGCCCTATACTTGGTCTGCGTGCTCTCCCACAGTGAGGACATAGGTTTCTAGATGGAAGGTGGATCTGGTTGGGGTTGGCTTGATGTGCCTTCCTCTTGGCACATTTCTCTCTTTTGCCCTCCATTCGTGCCTCTTTGAATTCTGCAGCACTGCTAGTCACAGCTGACCTCCAGTTACAGCACTTGTGCTGTCACGCACTGAGCCTATGACGATGTCTGTTTATAGGACGTGCTTTCTGTACGCCCAACAGGACACCGGGGTGCCTCAGCTAAAGGGTCCCTTAGGCTTCCCGAAACAAAGTTCTGTAGAGGCTCAAGATAAGTCCAACAAAGTTTTTTTTATTAAGGCTTAAATCTTCAAACAAATGAATAAAATGCCATATAATCCTGAAAAACTGGTAGCTTTCTCGATCTGCCGACAAGGGACAGCAACTACTTGATAAACTGTTCCTATCTTATTTAGGGAAACCTTCCGACCCCTACTTGGGCAATCTTTCTTAACCCTGCTGGCGTGAGGCCCCAACTCCCGGCTCCAAGCTGTGTTATGGATAGCCCGAGTGGTCCCTTACCAGACAATGCTTGCTGCAGATCTGTCAAGCTGGTGTCCTTTTAGTTTCGCCATGAAGGCTGTGAAACTGTAACTTTACTCTCCAGCAAAGCTGTAGAGGTTTTCTTTTTTTCCCAGCAAAAGCTGGCTGTAGATCTATATCTTTAACCCCAGCAGAGCTGGCTGTAAATCTAAATCTTTAACCCCGGCAGAGCTGTAAGAAGCGAAGCTTTTTACAGGTGGGGTACAGAGAAGCCCACACGTCCTACTGTAAGGCTTCAAACTGTGAGATTGAACTGTAAGTCCCCCTTTCCCTCCAAAACCTGGGAAAAGGGGAGGATCTAAAGGCTCTAACGATGATTGATAGGTGGTTGTCCCTATGATTGCAACTTGGGGAAAGCTACCCAATTGCAAAAGGCAAGGTCCAACTAAATTCAAACAAACTAACAGTGCAAGAAAAAGAATCAAATCTCCTGGCACAGTCGTGCCAGCACAGCATTCAAGAGCCATGGCTTCCAAGTTCTCTGTGTCTATGCCACAGTTTTTGAGGTTGGCATTAAGCCTGTATGATCCCTCCCTCCTTTTTCTTTTTTTTCTTTTTTTCTTCTTTTTTTTGCCCTTCCCCTTTGCTTTCCCTCCTTTTTTCTTTCCTGGCTGTTTCCTTCCCAGACAGGGGCTGCGTGCAAAGCTCTGATCAATACTTCTTCCTCAGCTTTACCATGCTGGGGCTGGCCAAGAAAGCTTTGGGTTTGCTGCTGCCAAGGAGAGCAGCTGGGAATGAATTAGAAGCATGAACTGGTCAGAGGGAAGCCACTATAGTCATTTATTTTCATTTTCTATTACCAGCAATTTAGCAATAACGACAGAACTTTGACAATTGGTTTTGGTGACGGAGTGTAATTATTTAAATTACTGCTGTATCTGCTCTCAACACACAAGGGTTTGTGAGGTGATGAACTAATAAGAACCAAATAAGACCATACCAAAATGTTTTTAGAACATTTGAAAACACATTAAAGTATTTTTAGAACAGGCATGAGCAAACATCGGCCTCCAAGGTGTTTTGGACTTCAATTCCCACAATTCCTAACAGCCTCAAGCCCTTTCCTTTTCCCCCTCAGCCGCTTAAGCGGCTGAGGGGGAAAAGGAAAGAGCCTGAGACTGTCAGGAATTGTGGGAGTTGAAGTCCAAAACACCTGGAAGGCCGAAGTTTGCCCATGTCTGTCTTAGAAGCACTCCTAAAAACAATCCTGGGGTCCATCTACACTGTAGTATTAATGCAGTTTGATGCCACTGTAACTGCCATGGCTCAATGCTATGGAACTTTGGGATTTGTAGTTGGGATTTGTAGTTTAGCAGAGGGAGACTGAAAACTGAAAACCACAGTAATGCATATCCACAACATCTTGACACATTTGGTCCATTTGGGAGAGCTCACAGAATGGTAAAATCAGAGGGTAACCATGTTTGTTCCCAAAATATATACCGTAATGTTTATAAACACTCCGTTGACATGTATCTCTGTGACAGTGAGAGTTTGACAAACAATAATAAATTCTTTTAAAAGGAAAATTAGGGTACATAAATGTATGCCTTTAAAGGAGGGGAAAGAGATACCCTAATGCTTAAAGCATTGCTTTTCTGTGACACAGAATTGGGCTAATATTTGTCGTCTTCTTGTACTGTTTCTCATTTTAGAAATAAAACATTATAGGATCTTAATAACTTTCTGAAATAGGAGTGGAAAGTCTGTGACCCTCCACATACGATTAGACTTATTCCTGTGACTCCTGCCCATTTACCATATTGGTTTGGACTGATGGAATTTGGAGTCCAGCAACATCTTATTCCTCACCTCAGACCCTATCTTCACTGCCATATATAATCCAGTTTCTGAGTCCAGATCATCTGCTTGAACTTGATTATACAGCAGTGTAGACTCATAATCCAATTCAAAGCAGATAATCTGGATTCAGAGACAGGACTATATGGCAGTGTAGATCCAGCTTGGATTATATAGCAGTGTAGACTCATATAATCCAATTCAAAGCAGATAATCTGGATTCAAAAACTGGATAATATGGCAGTATAGATCTGGCCTCAGTCTAAAGTACCTTGAAAGACTAGGGAGCTGCATTAGCCTTCCAGGAAATATGGGAGAAATGCTCTCTCAGCATGGAAAAATTACATATTTTGCCCCCAATTACACTCTAGCAGAGGTGGAGGCATGTTTTGGGGTTTTCTGGGCCTTTGGGGAGCAATTTGGAATACTTTGAGGCAATAATATTTTTTGTAGAATTTTGCAAAATTTCACTTGGGGGACTTAATGATTGAAATTCCCTCTATTCCCTAAGGATCATTTTTGGCATATCAGAATAGTTTTGAAATAATATATTTTGACCATAGGGGCCACAACGGCTGCACTATGTCTAAGCATAACAGAGAGTGGTATGTGGGTAGTTTTAGTCCCAAGAAATTGAGATTTTCAATCTCTGACCAGGAGTTGTAGATATGGAGCGAGGCCCTGTGTACACTTTGATTTTGACTGCAAAGCTATCTTGCGTGTCAAGCAAAGCATGAGCTGCCAAGAAGAATTCTTTCATTCCTGGCATCTGCCCATTTGACATTGGTTAAACAAACTGGCTTCTTCTGTCAGCAGTGGAAGGGGAATATCTGTGAGTCCTTTTTGCAACTGTGTAAGTTTTGTGGAGAGATTTAATGCCTGGCAAGTAGCTCTGTCTCCTTTCCACTGAGAGACAGAAGGCATTCAAAGCCAGACCCACTGTGTGGAAATTTTGTGTGCTTGCCTTTCATTGTGTAAGGACACAATCGGCACACTTTTCTTTTTTGCTGTTACAGATCTTGCCATGAGGTAGCTTGAGAGGAATGCATACATATGCTGCTGTTTAGCCAAAACAGAAAATCCAAGACCATCTCATGATTAGAAATAGCCTCCAGAAGTCTTTTATTGGTGTCTTCCATACAGTTATTTCTGGTGTATGGCAACCCTAAAGCAAACCTATCATGGGTTTTTCTTTAGAAAGGCTTTCCTTTTACGTTCCTCTGAGGTTGAGAGAGTGTGATTTGCCCAAAGTTATCCAGTGGGTTTACATTACCAAAGAGGGATTTGAAGCCTAGCTTCTAGTGTCCTAGTGCAATGCTCAAATCACTGTACCATGCTAGAGGTATTGGAGAGAGAGTCTAAAAATAAATATGTAAAATAATGCGGTGACTTAAATAATGCTTATTTATTAGTAGTGAAAGACATTATTATTATTATTATTATTATTACGACTATTACTACTACTACTATTACTACTACTATTACTACTATTTATAATCATGCAATACATTGACCACTATTGTATAAAATTACATATATAGGCCGTTCCCAAGTTACAAACAACTGACTTACAAACAACTCATAGTTAAGAATGGGGGTGAGACAACAGGAATTGAGAGAAATTTACCCCTAGGATGGGAAATCCACTTTTGAAATAGTTATCATGGGGGAAAGGCATTTCTGTTGAACCTTTATCACCAATCCTTGTTTCTACAACAAGCCATTTTTTAAAAAACCAATTATCAAAAGAACAGAAAGTGAGGTGAAATCTTCTGAACAGGGGCACAGACAGGACAACAAACCCCACAGAAGTTCATCCTTCCCTGTGCTATTCAAAGTGAGATATACTATATATATATAGATAGTAAATAGATACAGATATACAGATATATAAATAAATATATGGCATAAAGTATACCTTTTCCAACTTTAAAGTATACCTTTTCCAACTTACAAAATTAATTTAAGAACAAACCTATAGAACCTACCTCGTTTGTAACTTGGGAACTACCTGTACCAGATCCAAGTCGAGTGATCCTTTGGACTTTCTTGGGGTAGGTGTCTTGGGAACAAGAAGGGTTCAGATATGCTGGATGCATATCATCCCATAAAATGCTCCTTGGAATTCCATTCTTGGCCTCTCTGAATAGCAAGAACTGATAACAAGACAGAAGTAGAAATGAAACTTTCCATCATTGTTCAATGAAAGCTTCTTATTCCACATATCCCTTTATTACAGTATCTCTAGTGCAGAATCCTGAGCACTCTCAGCAAACTACAAATTTCAGGATTTTATTTTTACAACTGTTGACAGTTGTGCTGTTGCAAAAGCGATATGTGCCCTTGAAGTTTTTCTTCGCCTTCAGTAGTTCATGGGTGAGCAGACTCCAAGTGTAGGATTTATTGTCTCTTCCAGTGTATATTATACAGTAAAACTTTACAAGGCAATAACATTTAGTATAATCTGCTTCCTTCATAAATCTTTAGCTTAGCATCATTCAGGAAACTGGCGGACAGGTGAACAAGCATTTATTTCTTAACAGCATTTATGATAATGAGATTGATATTATTGTCTCTTTCTCTCTTTGTCTGAAATAGTTGCAGAATCCAGAGGTATGGATCTTCAACTGTTGCTGTTTACATTGGCACTGGTGTCAGTGACTGATTCTTTTCCAACAAGTTCGGGTGAGTATTACAAAGAAATGCTTTTGAGACACTGAAATTAAATTCTGTCTGATGTATCTAATAGGAGATATTTCATCACTTTGGGTCCTGATATCCATACTTTACCTCTGGTCAGAAAAGGCCAATCTAGATGAATGCTAGATGACTCATAGACATGGTCATTTTTTTAGCCACTTGGTTGAGTGTTTATAGTCAGCCTTCACATTTTCTGGAGATAAGGGTGCATAACCCACATAAAAGTGATAAAATTGTAAATAAAAAATGCAATTAAAAAAACTTGGAGAACACCTCTCTAGGAATCTCTAAGTTCTCCAACTCAGCTTCTACTGGAGGTTGATGACAGAATCATGTTTGGAGGACCTACAAATTTCAATATAAGTGTTCTCTCTAGGAACCTCTAAGTCAGGTGTGTCAAACCCATTTTCATGGAGAGCCATATCAGCCTTATGGTTGCCTTCAAGGGCCATTGAATCCATGGATGGAGAATCTGTGGATACAGAGGACCAACTATCTATCTATCTATCTATCTATCTATCTATCTATCTATCTATTGAGATGTGTGTGTATGTGTGTGTTTGTGTGTTGGTGGCGCTCTTTAGTTTTTAACCAATTTGGTGCCCCAGATGTTATTGAATGACAACACATATCACTTTTGATTTCATCATGAGGACAGGGGATAATGGGAACTGTAACACAAATAGTACTTATGGTTCTGAGGTTGCGGAAAGGTTAAAGGACATTTAAAAAGTTAGACATCGTATCCACAAGTCTTGTATCTAAATTCAAAACTTTCCTAACTAAATAGAACACATTACAGCCTTCCAGGTGTCACTGTTTCACAACTTGCATCAGCTCTAGTTGTGATGTCTAATGATGAGGAAAACAGGAGTTGTATGCCAGCATCTGGAGGGTCACATAAATTATATAGTGGGCCAGAGTTTGAGACATGTGCTCTAGGTCCTTCATTGAAGAAGTTGGCCACAGAGCTATGGGAGAGAGGATTCAGAGATTCCTAGAGAGAACATACTAATCAAATGCATGAATAATCAGAACCATCAATATGAAACTCCCAAATATAGAGGGCTGGCTGTAGTATGCATTTCAGGACACCACTTTTCTTTGTGTCAACCTCTCTGCCTGTTGGGATCACTATTAAGGGACAATGATTTGAATTTCCTTAGTAATAAGAATGTGAAGTTATCTACAGAAAGAGCAGGGGCTTCTCATGCATTACTCCATATTTTTGAAATGATATTTCAGATGTAGTGAATTGGGTGGTTGGGTCCCTCCCTCCTGGCCATTAAGTAGCCCCCTCTTGAGGAAAGCTTTGAGATGTTGAAATCTGCAGGTTATTGTTTTCATTTCTGTTGTGTCTGCTTTGAGAGGAAAATAGATAGGATATTTAGAAATGATTTTCTTCTTGCTCTTGTGATGTGGTTTTTTGTGGGGAAAGTAAAAAGTGGAAGCTTTTGGCTTCTCAGAAAATGTGGCTCTCAGCCAGGAGGAAATAGGCTATCCACACCTTGCAGCTAAATGCACATCGGCCGAATATAATATACTTTTCTGCAGCATAAGAAGACTGGTTATTTTGAGGCAGATATATTTTCAAACACTTTCTAGACATGAGGTTTTCATTTCCTCTGGCTGTGTGCCATTTGCTTGAATTTGATTTAATTTTATTTGGAGTTTAATCATTGCTTGTTTTGTTCCGGCTTATGTTGCTAATTTGGCTATTTGGCTCTGTGTTTATTATGTTAGTTTTATTTTCAGCATCTGAAGCCTACCAGGGAGATGGGAAGAGAAAAAGCAAAAGAGAGGCGGGGGGAGAGAGAGAAAAAAGACATCAATATATCTAATAGCACAGGGCTTCTCTTTCAATAAGTCTGTTGTCTGTATTTCAAACATTTTCTCACAAAGGGAATAAACAACTTCAAACCAAGCCTGGCTTTCGGGAATATTAGGCCAAAATCATTAGGGTCATGGCCAGATTGGGTTGTCACCATTGCCTTCCTCTGAGGCTGAGAAAGAAAAATAGGAGAGAAGAGGGGAGGGAGAGAAAGAGAGGAAAGGAGAAAAGAAAGAGAGAGAAAGGAGAGGCTGCATAAGGGAAGGAAGGAGAGAGGGACACAAGAGAAAGAGAAATAGAGAAGAAAGAAGGAAAGAGAAAGAGAAAGAATGAGAGAGGAGGAAGAAAGGGGGAGAGAGGCACAAGAGAGAGGAAGGGAGGGAGAGGAAGGAAAGGGAGGTAAGAAATAAGAAAAGGAAGGGAGAAAGGGACACCAGAGAGGAAAAAAGGGAAGGAGAGGAAGAAATATAAAAAACAAGAGAAAAGGAGAGGGGGGAGGGAGAAAGAGAAAAAGAAAGAGAAGGAGAGGAAGAAAAAAGAGAGAAAAGGAGAAGGGAGGGAGGGGGAAAGAAGGGGGCACAAGAGAGAAAAAGAGGGAAGAGAGGGAGAGAGGGAGAGAGAAAGAGAAAATGCGGGATGGACAGAAAATAACCTTCAGGGTATGTGTCTAATGTCTATATGAAACAGAGATTAATTTATGTTTTGATCTGGGTTCCATGTATTATTATGTACGTGTATACATATAGAGGTATTCCAGAATATCTATGGTACAAATCATTCTAAATAAGGGATATTCAACCTGTATATTAAACATTATGCATTTTTTGAAACACATTACTTCTTGGGATGGTAACAAGAGCAATGAATTTCTTTATATGAAATAATAACTGGCAAGACTATATTTCCAAATGAGTTGTGTTTTCTTAAAAATATGATTTTTGGAGCTCATCTGGATGATTTGGGCGAATTTATATAATTCTGATGGCTTTCCCCTCAGAAAAGGTAATTACTGTTAGCTCATCATTCATTTCACCATAAAGCAATCCGTACTGAATACTATGTGGTTCAATTATTTTTTTTTACAAAATTAATGTATGAATTTTAAAAAGTGTTCCAGTCCCTATGCTGGGTAATAGTGTATTTTGGCTCTGATCCCCAACCAAATGTATAAATAACATAGCATTGTGGGTCTTAATTTTTCTAGCAAACATCTTAGTTATATCATTTGCAACAGGAGACGGGAAAGTGAAGGTGTAAAGAGTTTCTGAATGCTGCCCATTAAAAGCCACAGCTGTACTAACAGTAGCAAAGATTCCCAACAGTGCCTTGCCTCAGGCCAATTGAGAAGGTTGAGAAAACAGCTTTCTTTCCTTCTCTCCCCCCTTTAATTTTTGGCAAGGAGTATTGAGCAATTGGAGGAGTACTGCTAATCCCCTCGCAAAACACATGAACAATGTAAGAATAGTTGAAATGCCCCACACTAGATAGGCTTCAAAATATGTTCCTTTAGGTGCAATGTACTGGAACCAATTCGCTGTGTTCCTTTTCTTGTTTCTACATCTAAGAGGGCCTCTCCATCGACTTGGCAGCTGAGAGGTGTTCCTGCTGCCTGGCAAATACAACCACACGTTGTTGTTTTTAAAAAAAACCCAAAAAAATGAAGTGCTTAGGGCATGTTGTTTTATAAATCAGAGAGACACACGCACTCTTTTGAGTTAGGAGATCTGCTCAGTCCCATTCTCCTCCATTGTTAGCACATTAACCCTCACTTCACAAGGCTCTCGATATGAAGAGGTTTCTGGACTACAGCCCCTTCTGGGGAGATCAACTCCCCCTCTCCCATTAGCCTATTTGGCTCTCCAAATACCTTCAATTGTGCTTGAGTTAATGAGATCCAGTATCCATCATTATAGTTGAGTTTTTATACTGTATTCAAATTGTTATAGTCCCTACCACTCAAGGTACCTGAAGAGCTAAGATTCAAGTCTCAGTTCAATCAAGATGTTCCTTCTCATAGGAAATACCCACGATCAAAAGTATTCCACTACAATGTGGTCAATAACTATTTATTTCATATCTGCACAGAGGCAAAACAGGTCATGGGGACTTCTAAAGATATTTCAGACTATACTTGTGCCTGTCTCTAAGAGGTTGTCAGATCTCCCGAGGTTTAGATTTTAAGAGAGGTCAAGTCTTACAAATGAAATCTAGGAAATCAGGGTCCTAGGGCAGATCCAGACAGGCCTTTATCCCAGGAGAATCTGCATTTTAAAAACGCAGATTTTCCTGGGGGCCTGTTCACACCCACCCCAGTAAGCGTGCACTTTCTGGTGTGGGCAACCAGATGCTCTCGTGGGACTAGCCCATGAGAACATCTGGAAGCCCTCCCTCCCTCCCCCAAAGCCCCCAAACCCCTTAGAAAAGTAATGAAAACTTACCTGGCCTCCATTACAGGCTTCAGCCAGCTCTCCCGGTACGTAAAAATGACATGCCAGGAGAGTGGGGGTGGGAGCGATTTCCCTCCCTCCCCCCCCCCCCCCCCCCCCCCCCCCCCCCGCTCTCCCAATACATCATTTCTACGTGCCGGGAGAGCTGGCCGAAGCCTGCAATGAAGGCCAGGTAAGTTTTCATTACTTTTCTAAGGGATCTGGTGGCTTTGGGGGAGGTGGGTGGGTATTCCCACAGTTTACCGGGCTTATTTCGCCCAGTAAGCTATGGGAATGCTGTATGGACTGCAGTATTCTGCAGTCCAGAACCGGAAATAGAAGGTTTATCCCGTGCCTTCCAAGAAGGCGTGGAATAAACCCGCTGTCTAATTAATTTGCAACTAACCAGGTTTTTCCTGATTTGTAGCAAATTAATTCAGGACTGTCCAGACACACACACACACCCCTTTATTGCGGTAGATACCATAATAAAGGTACTGTCTGGATGGGTTCCTAGAAGAACAGAAAAAGTCTTGGGATCCCAGAACTGCTTTTAAGGTTCTTATTAATTTTTATCTTAGTAATATGGGTTCTTATTAAAAAAAATTCTACTTGAAGATAAAAAGTGAGACCCTGTTATCTAAAATGCTTGGTACCAGACTTTTTTCAGGTGATTCTGAAAATCCTATTTAGTCTCCTTCTCTCCCATCGCCACCTTTCCAAGGTCT